TGTGACTTTGTACGGCACACTGTGGCTCACCCTGCCGCTGTGAGTCTGTATGGCACACTGTGGGTCATCCTGCCACTGTGAGTTTGTGTGGTACACTGTAGGTCACCCTGCCGCTGTGAGTCTGTACGGCACACTGTGGGTCATCCTGCTGCTGTGAGTTTGTATGGCACACTGTGGGTCATCCTGCCACTGTGAGTTTGTGTGGTACACTGCGGGTCACCCTGCCGCTGTGAGTTTGTACGGCACACTGTGGGTCATCCTGCCGCTGTGAGTTTGTATGGCACACTGTGGGTCACCCTGCCGCTGTGAGTTTGTACGGCACACTGTGGGTCATCCTGCCGCTGTGAGTTTGTATGGCACACTGTGGCTCATCCTGCCGCTGTGAGTTTGTACGGCACACTGTGGGTCATCCTGCCGCTGTGAGTTTGTATGGCACACTGCGGGTCACCCTGCCGCTGTGAGTTTGTACGGCACACTGTGGGTCATCCTGCCGCTACTGCCGCTGTGAGTTTGTATGGCACATTTCTTTCAAGTTTTGATGCTAGGAGCTCCCTCAGAGTCCTAGACTACAGAAGGAACAGCTGAAGAGTTTAAAGATAAGATAATGCAACTCTTCGAGGTTCCGGAACCAAGCAAATACATGACTTATTTGCATTATGAGGTTCCTGAGTAAAGGGGGTTTGGGCTCTGACATTAAAATAATCGTGTCAGTTTATTATCGGTATTACATTAAAACTTCATCCTTTGCCAAAAACTACAGGATACTAAAATTCAGCAAAAAGACAACACATTTGGTGCCAGACAACTGTTAGATTGCAGTTCATCTGCACAAAAATCCTCACCTGTATTTTTAGTCACTGCCTCTGTAATGCAGCAGTCACAGAGAAGTCACTGAATAAAAATCACGGAATGAGGGAGTAAACAAGCAAATCTTTCCACTGTGTTATCTGACACTGTACATGTGATACTTTTTCTCCTTAAAAATGTATGAAAGGAGGATAAAATTTTTGATGCTTTTTAAAAACAGCATACAGTATAGACTATACTTCTGATGATAATGTATCACGCTACCTTTTACATAAGAAAGAAGAGCAAGACTTCAGATATTAAACTATCACTTTACATAGCAAATTACTGGGTTTGAAAAAGCTTTCCAAACCTAGACAAGTTCCCTTTATACACGCCTCTACATAAATAGTGTAGACATTTTTAGTTCTCTATGACATTCATGTAAATTATTTGATTTGATGTGATGAATCCCATTGTTCACAGTAACACAACAGAACAAGTGCTTGCACTGGGCTGGCAGGACGATTAAACCAGGTTCCACTGGAGCCAGGGCTGGGCAATGCAGAAGTGCCGGAAACTGAAGGCAGACAGGCAAAAGAAAAGGGGAAAGCTGGCAACGGAAGAACAAACTAGCATGCCCTACCACAAACACAGGGCAGAAAGAGGTAAGTAAGAGAACCTGCGGGGCAGAAAGGATAGGGAGATCTGGGAAAGAGAACAGAAAAGGACCGTCTGCAATAGCACAGCAACGGGGGAGGGGAGGGGGCGGACGCACGTGCCTCAGGGTTCCTAAGTGCGCGAAAAATGCTGTTCATAATTACTTGGTTATTAAGAGATCGTTTTTGATATCCTCTAATCACAAAAGGAAGGAAGCATAAAAGATATTTCAGAAGCTATTCCAGTGAAATTAGCCAAGGGTGACAGCGGAGATCCCCAAAAGGCCAATAACATCATCTGATTTCTCATTGTATCATCAGCACCAAACATAGGGAAGACTATTAATAAAATTTTACTGAAAGCACAAACACAAAAAGTGTTTGAAGGCCAGGCACGGTGGCTCACACCTGTAATTCTAGGACTTTGGGAGACCGAAGCAGGTGGATCAATTGAGGCCAGGAGTTGAAAACCAGCCTGGGCAACATGGTGTAACCCTGTCTCTACTGAAATACACAAAAATTACCAGGGCATAGTGGTGCATGCCTATAGTCCCAGCTACTTGGGAGGCTGAGGCATGAGAATCGCTTGAACCTGGAAGTTGGAGGTTGCAGTGAGCTGAGATTGCATCACTTCACTCCAGCCTGGATGACAGAGTGAGACTCCATCTCAAAAAAAAAAGAAAGTTGCAATTAAAACGTTTCATGTTCAAATCTAAAATTAAAAGACATTTTTAAAATAAAAATCCTAAGGTTGCACTTATAAAGAGACCCACAATTGCCTGGATATTTCACTTAGTCCAAAACCTCATTCTTAAGGTATCAGAAAATATTAAGCATTAGTGATTTTTAGCACTGAAACTTTAAAAACTCTTCTCCTGAAAGAGTTAGGCAGACTTTGTTAAACTATGCTTCTCAGAATGGAGAGGGGAGGACGTATTCAGAAAGCAAATGTTTAACAATCTGCTTAGCATTGTCATAGGAAAGTAATCAGTTTTTAAAGTCATATATATGTTTCTTTTGGGTTTCTTAAAATAGCTTAACTTAACAGACCAATATAATCTTAGGAAAGGAGACCATTATGTATTAACTTAATAGAAAAGACAACTTTACCACGAGGTCAAGAGATCAAGATCATTCTGGCCAACACGGTAAAACCCCATCTCTACTAAATATACAAAAAAAATTAGCCGGGTGTGGTAGCACGTGCCTGTGGTCCTAGCTACTCGGGAGGCTGAGGCGGAAGAATCGCTTGAACCCAGGAGGCGGAGGTTGCAGTGAGCCGAGATTGCACCACTGCACTCCAGCCTGGTGACAGAGCAAGACTCTGTTTCAAAAAAAAAAAAAAAAAGACAAGACAACTTTAAACACATATAATTTCCAGTGTTACTTGTTATCCAGTAGAAATGACACTGCGTTTTGAGTCTGAAGAGGGAATATTCCATTAGTTGTAATGCAAAACATTAATAATTAATCTGCCACATTAAAATGTATTTTCCCCAATTTAAACAATTCTTTTATTTCTTAGAAATGTCTCAGGTGAGTACAGTTTTAGATTTAGTGATGGGGGGAAAAATAATTTGGGAAAGGGATGTTAATTGTAGGCTTTGTATATTCACGCCAATAGATTATCGAAATACACAGGAGAAATGCTACAGGCTTTGCTACATCCAGGACGAGACCTCTGTGCACCTTCCACACAGCTGAGGAGGCAGGAGACTAAAGACAAAGGTTACCCAAACTCAGAGTCGATCTGGAGGAGACATCTGGCAAACCAGATGACAGAAACTGATCCAGCCAAACAGCTTTCAGGCAGCGGCAAAAACTGAAATTGCAAAAGTTCATATTATGCCCTGAACTCACTCTCATGAGTTACTGGGGAAAGGTAGTTCTAGAAGGCGCACCACATGATGATCAGTGTGTAACTAGTGCAGTGTTGAAATGGAGGAAAACGTTTTATAAGGTGGGCAACACAACAGGAGCACGCTGATCCTTCTTCACAAGTTATACCTAAGAAGGTAAAATTAGACCACATGACTTTTCCCTCTAAGGCCAACTTGATTACTGGCATGAAGAAAAGGCAGTCAGATAATGGTAACGTTTTTGGTATTACAGCTAAGATCTGAATATGAGTATAAGCTTTGTTTTGTTGACTTCCTGTACCAGAGATTTAGTTAAAATATACAAGAGAATGAGTACTGGATTAAGTGCTTTACCATGAGCTCTAATTTTTTAAAAAACTATTTTTAACATTGTGGAAAAATATATGTAACATGAAACTGCCATTTTAAGTCTTTGTAAGTAGGCAATTCAATAGCATTAATTATAATAAACATGTGCGCCATCACCACTATCTATTTTCAAAATTTTCCATTGCCCCAAATGGAAACTGTGCCCAGTAAGCAATATTAAATAATTTTGTTAAGCAAAAACTAAGAAGAAAAACAATAGTCTGTAGAGAATTAACTGCAAATGGCAATCAAGCTGTCGGGTTAAAATAAACAAGAGAATGAACAGTATGCCAAGTGCTTTACTATTCTAATTTTGGCAAGAAAAAAAATTAAGAAGAAAAGTCATAGTTTATAGAGAATTGACTATAAATGGCAGTGAAGGGAGCTAGTAATATAGCATTTATAATTACCTTAGAAAGCTTTTCAGTCTATTTTAACATATACTTCATTGCCTACTTCGGTTTTGTTACTTTTTTATTTCCCCTTATTTATTTTTTTAATGATAATGCTGATTTAGAATACAATGAGTACAAATGGGACTTAAAAGTGAATTTGGGGGGGAATGGTGAAGAAAAGAAAATGCAGCTAGTACCCTAATTTTCAGAGAAGAAAACAGGTATACGGAGGCAAAAAGTAAGTCCACGAGGCTCTAACTGATGGTGAGCCTGTGCTGGAACTAAGGCAGCTGAATTCTGCTCTGCCACACAGGCCACCTTGGTGACGCTGCTGTAGTTTGGGTATGGCGTTTACCTTTTCTTTTTCCAAACTTTTTTGTATTATCAAACAATGGAAAATGGTCATTTTTCCTTGATCTCTTTATTTTTCAACTTAATATAAGGTTGAAAATTAATCCAGTACCTCTTATATTTTAAAATGTTTCCTCCATTGTTTATACTGTTTTAAAAGATTTTAAAAATATATTAACAATAGGAAAAAACAGTTAAGTACATATTATATTTTATCTGCTAGATGTAGGAGAAGAAAAATGAGACTTCCTTCATAGAATGTGACTATTCTTATTTTGATTCTAATTTCTGGAACTGCCACATAACAGTCAGGACCATGAAAAATGAATATATACAGTAACACTCACTCTAGCTGAAGGCATGCAATAGAACGTCTCGGAGTATGAACATTATCATGATTAGAAGTCATTTTATTCAATACATACAAATATAAAAACTACTTATAATTAAAAGCTTATGTTAACTAAAATTTTCCCTCATGTTTGAGACAAAGGAAAACTTATAAAAACAGAGCACTATTGAATACATATATATGTTTTAAATGCCACTTTACTTCCAATTGCACCTCATTTCTGATTTACCTCTGCAATCTCTATCCTTTTGGCAAGATCATCAAGAGAAAGACAGCTTTCATCGGAAGGCAGATTCTCCTGAAGACTGTAGGACGCTTCTTCAGGAGAGAGATCTTGAAGAAGGTCAGAGTCGTCGTCTTGGTTATCTTCATATGGAAGCGAATCTTCAGTATCTTTTAAACATGCCTGTAAAAGCCTGTTCAAATAGTCCTCTGTTTCTTTGCTGAGACGGTCATCTTTATCTCCCTTTTCCTCTGGGGCCATATACACCTCTGGAGGCGGTGTGCCTAAGTCAGATATTTTATTATTTCCACAGTGCACATTCTCAGAGCCCTCTGAGTCAGCCTGACCCCGTGGTGATTTTCCATCACTGTCCGTGAGACCAGGCTGCTGCAGCTCATTTAATTTATTGTTCTCAAGTTGGTCTGTGGGCAATGCCTCAGAAGCATCCCGAAGTGGCAAACGGAGTTCTTTTCTTTGAGCCTCAGAAATCAACGAAGGAGGTATACGGTCACAGCCTGGTAAAATCAATGGCTCTACAGCTAACTCGCTGGAAGGAAACACCTGAGGGTGTTCAGCAGTGCTCTCTATTTTGGCCACATCCTGGCAGGCCTCTGTTTGAGCCAGCTGCAAGGGACTGTCATCCTCACAAGCATTCTCAGAAGCGTCTGGCCCAGATGGGCTCCCTGCTGTCTCCGAGGACTGGGTGTGGAGAGCTAACGTGGCTTCAGCGCTGCAGAGCAGCTCCTCCATGTGGTCCTTTTCTGCAGTTACCGAAAGGCTTGGGGGACTGGCCTGCCCGTCCATCTGACTATGGCAGGGACCGCTCTCCAGGGGCTCTTCTTTATGTTGGCTTTCTTTATTTGGTTTTGTGCGAAGACAAGTTTTACTCTCTAAAGATGAAGAAAAATAAATCGTTTAAAATTCAAAACTACACTCTGTATAGGAGGGAAAAGAAGAGACATATGAGTATGTGTAACAACAATATTCTAACCCTCTCAAATGGAAATTCTGTCTGTTGCACAATAGTGTCTTTAGGTAGAGGAGACACCGAAAATATTTAGTAAATAGTCCTTATACATGACAGGTGTTAGTCCTCATTATCATCAAAAAGTCATTTTCAAAGATTTAAAACATATTCTGAACTTTATTAGCCTTTTACATTAAAATGAAGTTAGATTATTTTCGGCACATTTAAGACATGATGTGTTAAGTAAATATTTTTGCATGAGGAACCTCAGTAACACATTCATCACTTTAAATGCAAGAAAAGTAATATTGGTCTGGGTTACTATGATTAAAGACTAACCTCGGTTTTGTTCAAATTTATAATTTGACCATAATACCACTAATAAATATGTTTGCAATTTACTTGCAACTTCTTAAAGGGAGGTAGCAAAGGGTAGCAACAAAAAGAATAAGTTTTTGCAACAAGTAGAAATGGGTTTGAATTTTGACATCTCTTTCAATTTCTACTTTAAATATAATCAACTTATTTTTCTTCCACTTTAAAATGAAACAGTTAAAAACCTTTGTGTGAATAATGAATGAGAAGTGCACAGACTGGTAGATAACAGAGAGGCTTGCTCACCCTCACTTTATTGGTACACTTAGCATGCATAACTATTTTAGAAGTTTTAACTTTTAATACTAACATGTTTGTTTAACTTACATAAATGAGCCAAAGGGGAAAATAAAAGAGAAAATATGATGATAATTTTATTCCATTTGTTTTTTCATTTAATGGCACTTTCTTTTCCTTTTCTTTTCTTTTTTTTTTTTTTAAGATGGGGTTTCACCTTGATGGCCATGCTGGTCTTGAACTCCTGACCTCAGGTGATCCACCCACCTTGACCTCCCAAAGTGCTAGGATTACAGGCATGAGCCACTGCGACTGGCCAGCACTTTATTTTTCTTGTTTTTTTTTTTTTTTTCCCTTTTCACCCTGGACTCCAAAAGCATAGTGATGCTTTAATACTAATTACCAACTGACAATTGAGGCCCATACCATTTCAAGCAAAAAGCATTACTGAAACCCTGGCTTCAGATTTCAGAGAATCTGGTACTGAGGCTACCACCTCAACTCCGGGCTGCTGAGAGGTAGCTATTCAGTGGAGTTCATAGTTCCTCCCCGATACGCTGACTCAAATATCAGATGAGGATCGGGAGAAGGAAGACGGGTCACCTTCGGGAGAATACAGCATTCCTTCTCTCTCCCCAGCCCAAAGAATCACTCAAACTTTGTGAGACTGCAAGAAAACACAGGCGCATTTCATTTCCTTTCAGTTGCTGCTTTGCCACTGGGCTTGCTGGGCTGCCTCTCCTTCTATTAAAATGGGGGGACGGTTAGAGCAATGAGGGCCACAGCCAAGGGGAAAGGGGGCCAAGCCACTCCTCCACGAATTCCAGTACCCAAAGGTTCAGAAGATGTCCCTTGAAACATGCCCACAGTATTCAGAGACTAAGATTGGAGACCACAGTTCGTAGGTACTGTGAAAGCACAGGGTAGAAAAGACAGCCCCCCCCGCCCCCACATCCCAGAGGAATGGGGTGTGTTGCGTCCAGCTGAGGGTCAGTTACCTAAAGGCTGCAAGTATCTAGGGGAGCCTCTTGGGAGGAAACTCCTCTGTAGCTGCTCCTGCTGGAGCCACCACATCCCCACAGAACAACCTGGGTTCAGCCATAAGCACCAATACAGCTAACTCTAACCATGAGCAGACTATGTTCCCAGCCCTGGCTACTGGAGGGCAGGGAAGATATCTGGGTACAATGAGATTTAAGTGTGAAAATGAAGTTCAGGGTTGAATAGGGGTAAGCTCTAAAGAATTGAAATGGGACTATTTAATAGCTTATAAGTGACTGAAAGTTACAGAATCCATCTGAGGTGCCATTCTATGAGTAGGAAGTGAGGTGGTGGACTGCAGCTATGCCACAAAATACAACCAGATAGATAAAGTACCATACTAATGAACTGAGACACCACTTAAGTGATGGGTAATTAAGACTATCTGTAGGTACGGTGAATTATCTACAAAACAGCCTGAAAATGGTTGCTTCATCCCGTTATTTAGAAAGACTACAGAAAATTATGGGGAAAAAACCCATCACAATTTTGGAAAAGGCAAGAGTTCCAAACTATGCTTGAAGAGTAGCCCATACTATTGATCCTGCTCTTAAAAACACTGTTCGGTGAAACCTGAGCAACATTTCTTTCCCCGGAATTCAGTCCGTACTCCCTCGTAATGTGTATCTGGATTGTCGAAGCCTCTGATAATCCATACAGTGTACCCAGCAGAAGCAGCTGCACTCAATTCGAAATGGGAAGACTCCAGTTCTAGCTGTGAATTGGAGCACCAAGCAAGTGACGCAAACCTGGTGCCTCAGTTTCCCCATCTGTACCTCATGAATCAAAGCAGAGGCCAAGGTGGAGGAGTTGCTGGCAGCAGCCATGCTAAGTAAGTCTCACACTCAAACACACAGCCTGTAATCGCACTTTTCCCAATGTGCTCAGCATGGAGACACATTCACACCCAAACTAGGCAGGTTTTGTGTTATTCTTCCTCCTTTAAAACTGTTATGAAGTTCATTTTACTGTGATTTCTGACATAAAAATGACTGGAAAAGAAAAGCCAGGAAGAACAGAGGATAGTAGGACTGACCCAAGGCAATATCCCTAGCTTGTCTCAGAAGTGAAAAGGAGATTAAGATTTGAAAGAATAAAAATATACTCTGTAAAGGGTAAAAGGGTGGCCGGGCACGGTGGCTCATGCCTGTAATCCCAGCACTTTGTGGGGCCGAGGTGAGAGGATCACTTGAGGTCAGGACTTCCAGACCAGCCTGAGCAACACAGAGACCCCCATATCTACGAAAATTTTAAAAATTAGCACCGTGGTGTGTGCCTATAATAATCTCAGCTACTGGGGAGGCTGAGGCAGGAGGATTGCTTGAGCCCAGGAGGCCGCTGCAGTTGAGCCATGATGGTGCCACTGCACTCCAGCCTGGGCAACAGTGTGAGACCCTCTCTCAAAAAAAGGTGGGGGGAGGGAAAAGGGCTAATTATGACAATATCACCACCATCATCACCATCATCATCATCATCAACATCCTCATCATATCACTTCAGGGCAACTCATCTGAAACACCTGATACTTCCTCTTCAGTAACAGGGCCCTCAGGCCCAGGAACATGACGCCTAGAAATGTACATTAATAGTAAAATCAGATATCAAGGGGGAAAAAAACCCTAAAACATATTTATTTATTTTTATTTTCTAAAGCTTTTATAATGAACAACATGCCAAACATTTAGAAAAAAGCCTCTTAAAATCTTTTGACATAGGCACAAGGGGGTATGAAATACATCATAAATGCTTTAGAAATGTATATATACGAACTGAAGTATATCATATGTTAGTAAACAGAAAAGGGAAGAAATTAAATTGCTAAATTATCAAAATATAGAGTTTTAAATATCTAAATTTACAGAACAAATTTCTGATAAAGTGCATACAGTAACTGTTGAATTTTAAACAGAAAACAATGTATGAATAGACCAAAACCAATGCAGTTTAGTGCATTTTGTACAATCTCTCCTTATTCTGCCAGATATACATAACACCTACTGAAACATAATAATCCTATGTTTTTATAAGAACTTAGATTTTATAGTATCTATTACTAGATGTCTAAAAAGTAGAGCTACACAATATAAAAAGTCTTGTTTTGCTATTTTTCTAGGAGAGATATACATATAGAAACGTAAATGCAAAAAAAAAAAAAAAAGAATCCTCCATGACAATTCAAATGTAACACCTGTAAAATATCAGAGGAGGCAGGTATCTTTTATGCCGCTCCCCAGCTTAAGTTAAAAACATACCTGACACTTTGGTGGTAGCTCCTGTTTCCTTTGGATCTTCAGACACTATTAGCTGCGTAGAGCGTTTCCCTTCTGGGGACTTCTCCACAACTGCTATCTAAAGAGTTTAAAACAGGAAAACCCAACTTTTGGGGAAACTATTGCATTAAACTAGGAAGCTGAAAAGAACTTGGGAAAGGTTTCTTTATTTTCCAAAATAGTCCATAAAACAGACATATGACACAAACATTTTTCCTAGAAATATTTTCAAAAGAAACAATCTCTTACCTTATGTTTGGATAAAAGAGGACTGTAGAAAAAAAGAAAGAAAAAAGAATAAAAAAAAATTACAGCGGCAATACGCTTCCAAACAAATGTCACTGAAACGGCTATAAAAAAAAATAGAGCTTCTCTGTTCTAATATTAGCACAGAACATATTACCACGGCTCACACAGTTCAAAGTGCAGCTATATCATGTGTTCATCTCCTCAGATGGCCAGTTACTACTGAAACCCCAAGGAAGCTACACACGCTGAACTCTAGAAGGGAAAAAGAACGCTAACCTTCTGCTAATAAATAGAGATGGTTTCATATACACATATTTTCAAAATCTCAGTTTATGTCATTTTAGTCTAAGATTATGGTTGAAGATAATTTTGTTGGAATTCTCCATGGAAACAGCTAACAAAAATTAACTTTTAAATATTAAATTTTAGGGAGTACCAAAAATAACGGAATGTACATATCCATTAAAGGCTTGCGCAAAAATGCTAATCACACTTTATTCATAATACTCAAAAAACAAGAAACATCCCAAATGTCTACCAATAATAGAGTGAATAAGCCGCTGCATAGTCATCCAGTAAATCTGTACTGCAAAAAGCAGAGCAAACCACTGTGACAGGCAACAGTGTAGAACGAGGTGTAAGAAGCCAGACGTAAGAATCTATACTCTGTGTGATCCAGTTTATATGAAACTACAGGTGAGGCAAATACATTGTTGTACAGTCCAGACAGTGGGTACTACTGGGAGTGGGTACAAAGTTGGTAAGTGCCTGAGGAAGCCTTCTGAGGGGCTGAAATGTTCTATATCTTATACCTTGCTCAGAGCGGTAGTCACATACACATACATGTTTATGTAAAAATTCATCAAGCTTGTATACTTTATGTATAAGTTGAAAATATTTTTAAATATTAAAAAATTTAACAGTAATAATATGGGGGGGAATTCTCCAAATTTTAAAGCATAAAGACACCATGCTCATATCACGTTCAAGAAATATTTGTTAGCAAGTCCTTTACCTGCAGCATGAGCTATGCAACAATTGCCTGGCACCGACTCGGTATTAACAAACAGTGTTAGTTTCCTCTCCACAATTCAGAGAGAACAGGAGAAAACGTTCCCCATAGAATGGAAAGTCTTTCAGCCTTTGTACTGAGAATTCACGTTCTAAATTTCAGAAATCTGTACTAAACACTATTGTGTCCCTTTATCCTCAGAAATCTGGATCTTTGAATAAGAACATTTTTTTTTAAGTAAGTGCCTTATTATTATTTAGTTTTAAAAATCCAACTCTGGGGCAGGCATGGTGGCTCACACCTGCAATATCAGCACTGTGGGAGGCTGAGGCGGGTGGATTACCTGAGCTCAGGAGCTTGAGACCAGCCTGGCCAACATGGTGAAACCTTGTCTTCACTAAAAATACAAAAATTAGCCAGGCGTGGTGGCACATATCTGTCTGTAATCCCAGCTACTCAGGAGGCTGAGGCAGGACAACTGCTTGAGCCTGGGAGTGAACAGAGATCATACCACTGCACTCCAGCCTGGCCGACAGAGTGAGACTGTCTAAAAAAAAAAAAAAATCCAACTCCCTGATACAATTTAAGCACTGAAAATTACCTGGTAAACACAGTTTTTCTTCTGCAGTATTTTGGTTAGATACTGTATTCTATTTTCTTTTCAACATCAGACTACTCTTAAAAATGTTATGATTTTACTACAAAACACTAACATTAACAAGTAGAATAAAAAGCCCTAATGTACAATTCTGTCCCTCTGAACTGCCAATCTCTTAACCAAAAACAGATCAAAATCAGAAGCTACATTTTTAAATTTCTAATCAGAAGAATCTTTTGAACCTACATAAAGTTGACCTTTTATTGAGTTCAGTGTAAGAAACTCAGTAAAAACTAAGAAAGGAACCCAACAATTGTATTATACCCATCTTAATTTCTGCAGTTGAAAACATTAACAAAAAAGAAATGGATACTCAATGCTATAATGCTTCTTCAATATTCTATTCCAACTCATTCTAAAGAAATTCTGATATACTTACTCTCGATGTGTTGCACAAATTTTAGTAAGCCGTTCAAAATCTTCACCATTAAATCCCTTTTCTGAATTCCTTAGAGGCGTAACTGTATGTGGTTGCACAGTTTTCCATTTTGTTTCTAAATTTAAAGTATTTGTTAGTCACTGGCTCTTACAAAACATATTTAGGAGCAAAAAAAAAAAAAAAAAACCCAAAAACAAAACAGTTAACTAGCACCACTTGTAAAGATTTGCATGCAAAATTATCTTCTCACACAACCCAACAGTTAGAAATAGCTTAGTTAGTACTTTTCAATATAAGTAAATATCATCTAGAGATTAAATTAGCCAGTAGGGCATGAAATGTGATAAGAAGAAATGCAAATAGTTGCAAATATTCTTTTCTTGGCACTGATATGAAGAGCAAAATACAAAGAAAAAGTCTTCTCACTGTAGAATAGACTTGTGGTAAAAATGCCACTTTCTCTGCAACATTAACTTGACCATGGAAACATCTATTTTCTGATTTATAAAACCAGGTCAAATATGTTAATTCTGTAAATACTGACTTGTTGGATTACTGCAAATTCCACATTGCACGTTAGTCTCTACTTACCCCACTGTTCTTGAATGGCGGAAAGATTTGCGAGCAACTGCTCATGATACAATCGTTCTAGCTGAATGAATTTCATTGCTTTCTCATCTGAATAACATTTAAGGAAAATAGAAATCAAGACTATTTACATTATTCCCATATTTGAAGAAAAATGTCCTAAATAGGTTAAGAAATTTGCAGCTTACTAAAACATGAGAGGTCTCTAAATATTTTTAAATTTAAACATATAATGTTTCTCAGTTTGGAGTCCCGCCCGCCCCCGCCGAGAGGGAGTCTTGCTCTGTCGCCCAGGATGGAGTGCAGTGGTGCAATCTCAGCTCACTGCAACCTCTGCTTCTTGGGTTCAAGTGATTTTCCTGCCTCAGCTTCCTGAGTAGCTGGGGTTACAGACACCTGCCACTGTACCCAGCTAATTTTTTTTTATTTCTAGTAGAGATGGCATTTCACCATGTTAGCAGGCTGGTCTTGAATTCTTGACCTTGTGATCCACTCATCTTGGCCTCCCAAAGTGCTGGGATTACAAGCATAAGCCACTGCGTCTGGCATTTTTTTTTTTTTTTTTTTTTTGAGATGGAGTCTTTCTCTATTACCCAGGCTGAAGTACAGTGACGCAATCTCAGCTCACCGCAATCTCCACCTTCTGGATTCAAGTGATTCTCTTGCCTCAGCCTTCTGAGTAACTGGGATTACAGGTGTGCACCATCATACCCGGCTGATTTTTGTATTTTTAGTAGAGACAGGGTTTTACCATGTTGGCCAGGCTAGTTTCCAACTCCTGATCTCAAGCAATCCGCCTGCCTCCACCTCCCACAGTGCTGAGATTACAGGCAGGAGCCACTGCACCCGTCCTCGTAATGTTTCTTGGTTTTGAAGTAGACACATTTTAATGTAACATATTATGCAATTGCTACTTGGATTCCACACTATCAGCAAACAGAAACTAAAAGAAGGTTTTTAAGGCTCAAGAAATGTCTGCTTGTTAATATATTTCTAGCAGAGGCAACTAAAAGTAATTTAAGGAAACAGAACCCACATGGAATCCTGGAATCTACATGTTTCCCTTTTTTATTTCTCTCCTTACTTCCTGTCAAGCAACTATGTGACTCTCTGGTCCAGTGTTTCTGCTTCAACTCACCTTGATCCTTATTATTTCCCACTGAATGCTTTTCTCCCACAAGACCAAAGGATCACATGCCTGAACAATGACAGAGCAAAAACTTATACAGGTCTTTTGTAAAAACTCAATTAACTTGCCACAGTGATTTCCATTGTTATCACTTGATTCTATTTCTATGCAGATGATCTTGTGAGCTTTTGCCTTCTCATCTGTATCACACAGATCGGCATCTTATGAGATCAAGATACATTGTCCAACTGCCTACCTTCCTCTGGGCAATGCTCTAAATGCTCACCCAGGGAAAAAGGAAGAGAAATACTCACTGTTCAGCTTTTTGTCCTTCCCATGATCACTCAGAAATTTAGTTCTCTCTCTCTCTCCCTTTCTTTTGAGATGAGGTCTCCTTCTGTTGCCCAGACTGGAGTGCAGTGACATGATCATAGCTCACTGCAGCCTCAAACTCCTGGGCCCAAGCGATCTTCCCACCTCAGCCTCCCTAGTAGCTGAGACTACAGGCATGTGCCACCAAACTCAGAAAATTTTTTGCAGAGATAGGGTGTCACCATGTTGCCCAGATTGGTCTTGAACTCTTGGCCTCAAATGATCCTCCCATCTCAGCCTCCCAAAGTGCTGGGATTACAGGCATGAATCATTGCATCCGGCTCCATTTGTAGTCTTAAAGATAACCCAGTGGTCATATATATTAGGCCAAGAAGCAGGAATAATTCCTGTTTTTCCTTCTGCCCATGATTTAAAGAATACCAGTTGTGTCAAACTTTATTAACCTAAAAATTAACCGAAAAACATTAAAGTATAGATGCATGGGTCTGATCCCTAAAAGCTCTGATTCTGAGGTTTATGGATATGCATTTCTAAGAAGCTCCCATGAATTCTAATGCTGCACTACATCATATATTCATTACTTGGTGACAAAAAAAGAGAGTTCCATCTTAATTTCCACCAGAATTAGATTTCCAACATACTCCATAATAAACTGCCATTGTGTGAAGTTGCAGCACAGCAGCTCGTGTGACAGGGTTCATGATGGTGACTGTTTATTCCTCAATCTGGTCAGAAATGTAGGGTGACTGTTTATTCCTCAATCTGGTCAGAAACTCAACAAAATTAGGAGAAACAGCAAATGACACTAATGGAGAAAAACAGAGGTTTATGACACATTCTTTCTAGAGACTACATATGGGTCATCCTCGCAAAAGAAATGGAATTTTTAAAAAGGAAAATCTTGGGCCGGGCGCAGTGGTTCAAGCCTGTAATCCCAGCACTTTGGGAGGCCGAGGCAGGTGGATCACGAGGTCAAGAGATCAAGACCATCCTGGTCAACATGGTGAAACCCCGCCTCTACTAAAAATACAAAAAATTAGCTGGGTATGGTGGTTCGTGCCTATAATCCAGCTACTCAGGATGCTGAGGCAGGAGAATTGCCTGAACCCAGGAGGCAGAGGTTGTGGTGAGCTGAGATCGCGCCATTGCACTCCAGCCTGGGTAACAAGCGAAACTCCGTCTCAAAAAAAAAAAAAAAAGGAAAATCTTACTGATACAAAGTTGGTATACAATCTCACTTGACAACATTTATTCTGTTTATTGTTAGTCAGGAGCTAATCTTACCTCTGTAATTATATGGCTATAAGACAGTCACGAGATCTACTATCTGTAATATACCTGACATGCTCCACGATATGAATAGAACTCAACTTGTACGTCTGTTTAATTCAAAAGAAAGAAAATCCAAGAGTTTGAAATTTTATTTTTCAGCAACATGTGCTTTCTTCTCCCTCTTAAATACAAACACTTGTTTTAGTAAAATTAAGGCCTATTTATGAAGGTGAACTTTGGGTGGCTCTAGGAAATTTTGTGGAGTGACAGAAATTTCCTACACGTTGCTTTCTGAGGTAGTTACATAGGTACCTACAACTGTCAAAACCCATTGAAACTGTATGATCTGCATATTTTATTACATGTAAAATATACTTCAATTAAAAAAAAAATGAATGGTTCTCCAAGGGTTCTAAAAATTTCTTCCAGTAATTAAGAAAAGGATACAGTCCTCCTCCTGGAAATAGGACTCCGCTATCTGTTGAAAACAAACAAAAAAGAGAAAATTAAATTAACACTTGGATGAGAAGATAAATTTGGAACAAATTAAGATCTTGAAATTCCAAACGTTTATATCAAATTAAGAAAACTCTTTTTTTTAACTACATTCATCAGGTCAGAAGAAATCTGACCACAGGCACAGGATGCAATCCTTAAGTCACTTATCTCAGGCAAAGCAGCGACGCTCTCTGGTGTTTACACATCATTCTTCCCACTCTTTCAAGTGAAAGCAAATTTCCCTGATTCATTAGAGTTTAGAACTCTAAAGAATGAGAAAAATGTTAGAGACTTACAAAAATATAACACAGATTAAAAATGGTTGTTTATTGTAAATTAAAAGCAGAAATATTCCTTTCAAATGCTATGAAGGAAAAATAAATAAAAATAAAAAGTAGACATATGTCACGTCACGTATGATCTCAGCATCCTATTTATTTCACTCCTGTTTCACAAACTACTGGCTGAAGACCTCACAGGACACTGACTTTTTGGTCTGGTTTGATATTTAAGAAAAGGCCAGGTCAGGTGCCAACAACTGAGTAATGTCGTGTAGAATACGCACAAAGTGCTGCACATGGTACAGAATGCTTGCCTAGAGTTCCGAGTCTCGGGAGCTGGTCTCAGTTCAGGTTTGTCCATTATCAGATTCATTCTAAGACATCTTTACACTTAAAGATTCCTTGATTCTAAAAACTTTGGATATTTTTAGATCTTTCTTTAGATATGACATTTATGAATGGATCACTAAAACTAAAAATATTCACCAAAATATTATATAAACTTTGTATTTTTAAAACACAGTTTCTTGCCAGGCACAGTGGCTCATAGTTTAATTCCAGCACTTTGGGAGGCCAAGGTAGGTGGATCACCTGAGCTCAGGAGCTTAAGACCAGCCTGACCAACACAGTGAAACCCCATCTTCTCTACTAAAAACACAAAAATTAGCCAGGCATGGTGGTTCATTCCTGTAATCCCAGTTACTCTGGAAGCTGAGGCAGGAGAATCACTTGAACCCGGGAGTTCAACACCAGATTGGCCAACATGGTGAAACCCCATCTCTATTAAAAATACAAAAATTGGGCCGGGCGCAGTGGCTCACGCCTGTAATCCCAGCACTTTGGGAGGCCGAGGCGGGTGGATCACGAGGTCAAGAGGTCGAGACCATCCTGGTCAACTTGGTGAAACCCCGTCTCTACTAAAAATACAAAAAATTAGCTGGGCATGGTGGCACGTGCCTGTAATCCCAGCTACTCAGGAGGCTGAGGCAGGAGAATTGCCTGAACCCAGGAGGCGGAGGTTGCGGTGAGCAGAGATCGGGCCATTGCACTCCAGCCTGGGTAACAAGAGCAAAACTCCATCTCAAAAAAAAAAAAAAAAAAAAAAAAAATACAAAAATTAGCTGGGTATAGTGGCATGCACCTGTAATCCCAGCTAGCTGGGACACTGAGGCAGAAGAATTGCTTGAATCTGGGAGGTGGAGGTTGCAGTCAGCTGAAATTTCGCCAGTGCATTCCAACCTAGGTGACAGAGTGAATGAGACTCTGTCACAAAAAACAAAGGAAAAAAAATTCAACTACAAACTTCCAGTGAAAACATCTATGGTACTGCAGTTTCCTTTCTATAGATGACATGAGAAACAGTTTCAGGTTGCCCATTAAAACATAATGTCTGGCTCTTCAAGCCATTTTTCTTGCCTTTTTGCATTTGTGCACGACTGGCACATCGTTAGTTATAAACAGCTCTCATTTGAGGGTTTTGATGGGGTCCGTAACTATTATGTAACCAGATTTCCTGGCACTATAGAAATGTAATTTTCAATTAGCTTGCAGGTTTCTGCAGCAGTTCTAATACTATAAAGTCACCATGCAGAAAAGGTTATGAAACCCAGTGCCTCAGAAGTAAAAGACATTTCCAGGTAAAAAGTCATCTTGAGACATAAATATATAAAGTATTTCCCCTTTAAAAACCTCTCCCTTACAAGTCTAGCAGGAAGAGAAGATGCAACTTTCTTTGATGAATATTTCTAAATCTGAAAGCTAGCCCAGCAGAGCAGAAAGAACATGGGGCTGGAGGTGAATGACCCGTGTTTTAGTCCAAGCCCTGCCGCTTACCAGCTGTGTGACCCTGGACGTGTCATTTCGCATCTCAAGCCTCAACTTTCTTATCTTAAAACAGGGACAGTAATACCTACATCTGTGTAAAACAAGGCTGCCCTAAGGATTGAAAGAATGTGTTTGCTGCCCCGGTACTGGAAGCAAATTCAAATAAATAAATAAATACAAATTTAAAAAGAGAGAGAGAATATATATCTGGCATAACATCCAGCACACTCTAATAAGTGCTTGAAATGGTTTTTGAGTCTGTTTCTCAATGAATTGCAAGATGCAGAGCAGAATCACGTGGAAAAGTTGAAAACTGCTGGGAGGACAACAGTTGTAGGGTTATCCCGGTTATCCTTCTTTTACCCATCAGGAACCTTCTAAAAAAAAAAAATGAAGCTGTGGCTGGGTGCGGTGGCTCACGCCTATAATCCTGGCACTTTGAGAGGCCGAGGCGGGAGGATCACAAAGCAGGAGATCGAGACCATCCTGGCCAACATGGTGAAACCCTGTCTCCACTAAAAATGAAAAATGAGCCAGGTGTGGTGGCAGACACCTGTAATCTCAGCTATGTGGGAGGCTGAGGCAGGAGAATCACTTGAACCAGGGAGGCAGAGGTTGCAGTGAGCAGAGATCCTGCCACTGCACTCCAGCCTGGGCAACAGAGTGAGACTCCATCTAAAAAAAAAAAAATTGTGAAGGGCCATGGTCTAAATGTTTGTGTCCCCCTCACAAATTCCTATGTTGAAGCCTAATTCCCAGTGGGACAATATGAAGAGGGGAGTCTCTGGGAGGTGATTAGGTCATGAGGGCTCTGTCCTCACGAATTGGATTAGTGCCCTTATAAAAGAGGCCCAAGGGAGAGCTTTTCTATATGAAAACCTCCCAAGCACATGATTTCACTTAAACAGCTAACCTATAGTCATATTAACTAAGTCAGTGTATAAAAGACCACTCATACCTAAGAACAAAAACTTTAAAACAGAATCTTTAAGAGTTCACCAACTCAAAACAGAAGTATATGTTTCAGCCAGGTGTGGTGGCTCATGCCTGTAATCCCAGCACTTTGGGAGGCAGGCGGATCACCTTCGGTCAGGAGTTTGAGACCAGCCTGACCAACATGAAGAAACCACATCTCTACTAAAAATACAGTATTAGCTGCGCATGGTGGCACATGCCTGTAATCCCAGCTACTTCGGAGGCTGACGCAAGAGAATCGCTTGAACCCAGGAGGCAGAGGTTGCGGTGAGCTAAGATCTCGCCATTGCACTCCAGCCTGGGCAGCAAGAGCAAAACTCCGTCTCAAAACAAAACAAGTATATGTCATCATAGTTCCATTGACTTTTGGCACATATTATTTCATATATATCATTTTTTAAATCATAACTTTGCTAAAATTAGTTCTCGCACTCAAATACCATACTTCTGTTAATGGTACTACCATTCCCCCCAAACTGGATATCTTACAGTCATCTCTGATTTCTCCTTTGTCCCCTTTTTACAAGTGTGATGGTTAATACTCAGTGTCAACTTGATTGGATTGAAAGATAGAAAGTACTGATCCTGAATGTGTCTCAGAGGGCGTTGCCAAAAGAGATTAACATTTGATTCAGTGGGCTGGGGAGGGCAGATCCACCCTTAATCTGATTGGCACAATCTAATCAGCTGCCAGGGAATATAAAGCAGGCAGAAAAATGGGAGAAAGAGAAATGGGCCTGCTCTCCCAGCCTACATTCTCCTCCCATGCTGGATGCTTCCTGCCCGTGAACAGCGGACTCCAAGTTCTTCCGTGCTCCTCAGCTTGCAGACGGCCTATTGTGGGATTGTGCAACTTAATACTTAATAAACTCCCCTTTACTTATATAAATTTATATAGGAGATATGTATATCATATTAGTTCTGCCCTTCTAAGAGAACCCTGACTAATATAACAGTCTATACCAAGTCCTAGCTATTCTTCCTTCCGAAGATCTCAAATCTATCCCTCTCCAATTCCACTGTCATCACTTTATTACCTTATGACTGAATTAAGTCTTCTTTTAGTTCTTATTTTCATCAACATTTTATATGTCTATGTTTTTAAGGAGTCAAACAAATAGTTCTATAAACAGGAAAATGATAGAACAGCCTCTCCCCAGATTCTGTGATCCACTCTAAACCAAACTGGTCACCTCTCTTTCCTGGCATATAGCTGCCATCTTAAAATCTCCCTTCACTTAGATTTCCTTGACCTCTTTCCCCGAGCAGGATTCCCAGGTTCCTGCATCTCACACCTTCCTGTTTCTTGGTTTACTCCCTTGTTTTGCTGGAGCACACCATCTAGTGGCTTCCTAAGGAAGAGCAGATAGGAGATACCAGAGGACCTGAAGTAGGCACGTCCTTAGCATATTTGAGGAGCTGTCAGTAGGCCAGTGAACCTGGAAAGGAGTGAGTAACGAGAATTTTAGGAATGGCGATCTCACAGGGTGACAGGACCAGATCATGTAGGGCCTTGTAGGCCATGGTCAGGATTTTGACTTTTACTCTAAATGAGAAGGGAAGCCATCGGAGGGCTTTGCACAGTGGAGTGACAAGATCTGACTTGTTTTATCTGGATCACAGTGACTGCCATGTAGAGAGAAAACACTAAATGGAAGGGAGAGTGAAAGCAGAAAAGTCTCCATAGTGAGACATTTACTTGGAACAATCTGGGTGAGATTTGATGGTGTCCTGCACGGAAATGGTAGCAATGAAAGAGGTAAGAAGAGGTTCTGGGTATATTTTGAAGTAGATCTGCAGGACTTGCTGTTGGATTGGATTTGGACGCAGGGAAAAGCAAATAAAGGATGACTTCAAGGCATCTGGTCTCAGCAGCTAGAGGGATAAAGCTGGCATTTAA